CCCCAAAACCCCAAACCCCCAAAACCCCAAAACCCCAAAACCCCATTTATAAAATTCTATATAGATTTCATAAAGCAATAAAGAATATAATGGCTACTGTCAATAGAGTGCAAGCACTCCCTTGATTAAATACACGTAGGAAGAAGAGATTCTTCACAAAATGATTGTGTAAGCATCCGGTTGGCAATTTCATGTGTAATTTCTGAAGCCTGACTTAACACAATATTAATGTTCTCTTGAGGGTGTTTATAACTAAGATTTAGATAATAAAGTGAGGTGAAAGAAAACTCACTTCTCCAATACGAGAATGCCTACTTTGAGTAAGAAAAGAGATTTGACTCCAAAGCTGGAGCACAGTAACCGTAAAGAGAGAACACCTCTGTTTGGCAGAAAAGGACCAAGGCTTGATAGAAAATTTGAAAACCTGCTAAAATTGACCCATAAATCTGCTATCCAAACCTTAAAGTGGAGACTAAGAACTTATGATGAATTCTCTAATGATTTAGCATGACAATGTAAGCTTTTAATTGAGTAACAATCATGAGAATGATCTAAAAAAGAAATATTTCTGCTCTTAAGAAAACTCTTTAAGTGCATACTTTAGCCAAAGCTCTGTGCAAATGCCAGTGAATAAATATTAAAAATTCCAAACAAATCTTTCTATTTTAAATGACGTGTACATTTTAACCACCTCCAAACGCAAATTTCTCTTCCCTCTCACTCCAATCCAACATTCCCATTCATAAATACTCAAATCAATACCCTATAACCCCTGCTCTACTTCCCCCACTTCCTATCCATTTCCTAACTCCCCTATTCCCCTCTCCTCCTCTCCCTCTCAACTTACTCACCTTCCAAACTCTCTCACCTACGCACAAAGAGTAAACCCCCAGACCCAAGAAGAAATAAAGTAAGAAGCCATAGGTGTTTTGGAGAAAGGGACTGGAGAGGAATACTGAAGGGTTTGAAAAGTGGGGGTTTGGGCTATGGGATTGTGTAGGTTGGATAGGTTCATAGGTGTTTTGGGGGGGAGGGGTGTAGGGGAATAGGAATGGTTTAGGAATACTGGAGGTTTAAAGTTTGGGGGGTGTGTGGAGATGAGGGGGTAGGTTGGGTTGGGAGAGGGAGGTTAGATGGGAGTAGTGGGAGAGAAGGGGTTGGTGAGGTATGGGAAATATAGATTTTAGTGAGATAGGGAAATTTGTAATTGGGGTTTACCTTGAAATTTCTGATATAATACATTTATTTCGAGGTTGAGGAGTTATAGAAATTTACTATTTCTTATTTATCAGAATTGGATTTTTCTCATATATTTTAGCAAGAAATAGAGAGAAGATACCCATTGATTTAAAATTTGCATTGAGAAATGAAACTCCAAAGGTAAGAGATTTTTCTTTTATATGATGTTTTCATTTTGTATAAAAAATTTCACTTCAAAGGAAATATATGGAAATTTCTATTTAGACCCAACAAATTATCTATAAAAAGAACATTGAACAAAACTCATACGGAACCTTTGTACATAAGGACACAAGAGGCAAGTTATCATAAAGTTTAAACTGGTTTGATTTTTGCATTTTTTATTTTTCTATTCGACTCAAATTTGGATTTTCAAACGATGGTTAATCTCATCTGATATAAACTATCTAAAACGTTATTTCATATAAGCTAATCTCTGACCATGTCCTTTAGATAGCTCTTCAATTTTCCTTGTAACTCCCCAAAGCAAAAAGGGTCCCACAAAGTCACCTCAGATGTCAACACCAACTTTTCTCCAAGCGAGGCTTGCTAAACATTTAGCATCCTCCCCAACTGGGTCTTTGCTGAATTACCCTTCTCCATCCCAGCATAACCCTCTTTTCCAACCTAAGAAGAGAAATACTTACTCTTAAGCTTCTCCTGAGTCTAATCCGACCCTTAATTAATTCGATATTAATAACTCAAGCCCAAACTTTTGTACTCTCCTTCCTCCTATCCCAGCCCACCACTTAACAGGTTCAACCATTTTTCCAAAATCGGGGTTTTGGGGTTTTGGGGTTTTGGGGTTTTGGGGTTTTGGGG